CAGCTGTATCGCGTGCATATTTTTCAAATTTATAAGTGTTGCTACACTGCTGGTTATCACTTGCAAAGTTATGCTGAATCTCTCAATTAATTTCATATCGACATCTGTTATATCCGCGCTAATTGTGGATTTTGAAAAAATCTTCTAGCAGTATTCCCATCGTCGGTTGTGTCACTTCCCTGCTTAACAAAATCAACTTTGAGGCCAATTCTTTTCTTAAATTCTTCCTGTGTTTTTCTTCTTCTATTTTCTTTCATTTCTTTTTCGTCATCTGTGATATGTAAAATGCATTCCATAAATTTTATTCTGGCGGTGAGCATTGACAGGCCAAGTTTTAAGGACGCAATTTTTTTTTTTCAATGCATGACAAATTGTTAATTTCTTTCGCTGTAGCTTTGCATATATAACATCTCGTGGACGAAGAAGTACCCGCTACTACTTGAGCTACTTTAGCATCGTGCATTGCAAAATGTAACTCATGCGTAATTGTAAATTGACGCCCACAAATAATCACTTCTGTTGGATTAAGTTCTCGCCTTTGACTTTCAATAGCTGCCACTTCGGTAATTGTTTTTTCAGCAGTCTATTTGGCGTATTCAAATTTTATGGATTGGCAATATCGCGTAAAAGCGGGGCGAGATTATTCCAAAATTATACGGGTTTGGTCTAGTGCAGATTTTAGTTATAACGGGACCATAGATAACATAAATAAATTCGCATCTGGTATTTCTGGATTTGCTGTAAAACATTGCCTATATTCACTCTGTCCAGATGCACCATCACAACCCCACTTACGAATCAATGTAAAACTGTTTTCAGTAAATTGGCCAATCTTATCCGATTTGCTGTATAGAAGTCGCTGTGCAGTGTGATTTAAGAGTAACTGCAATTATATATTTAATAAAATTCGTATTCCTTCATATTGACGTTTAGTTAGCTGCAAATCTACCAGTAATACAAGGGCTTGTTGGGTGTCTATAACACTGTCAAATTGCATTTTATGCGTTAGTTTCTCAGCAGCACGTATAATTTTTTCTTCATTTTCTGTTTCACACATTTCTTTCACCTTGTATCGCTTTGCTCTTTCACAGCATTCTCCAAAAGATTTTCTTGGGCGTCCTCTAGGCATTAACGGTGATTTTGATTCTTTTGTTAATTTGTAAACCTTATACTGATCCAATAAGTCTATTTTTGAACCTTTGTTACATTGGTGAATAAGTTTGACATTGTCGTAGTTTATTATATGTCCGGTGTCAATGTGATGTTTATAGACGTTTGAGTTAATTGTATTCTTATGTTCATGTATTCGTATACCCAATTTTCTTCCTATTTGCCCTATGAAATTTTCTTATACTTTTTCTATTAAACGTGGAGTCATCTGTCCATAAAATTCTTTTGAAGACATAGCATTTAATGGGAAACGGCAAAATTGAATCCTTCGCTCCAGATCTCCTTCTTCAAATGCTTGAATAGGAGTATAGTGCTATGGATGGTTGCCCATTTGTCGAAGAGTTGGGGTCAATGTTGGGGAAACTGGACTTTACGGATTTCATTACTTTTTTATACTTTCTTTTAATTATATTATCAAAAATCTTTACTCTTCATAAAGATATATATAAAATGTAATGCAATTCGTCGTCTGTTGTATGAATTTTGAAGAAATGTACTGAAAATTTGAAATAATTGTTTTGGATTTAGAACAAATTTCGACTTTTTCTTATTTCTAGAAAAATATATGGGATATTGCACATTTTCTTATTAACTAATTAGTCTATATCCACTTGAAATTCACCTAGGGAATTCTTTGATAAAAAAACAAATTATATGAAATAATTTTAATTCGAAGTAAGGAAATCTATAATTATTAACAAGAATTAATAAATAAATTCATTAATAAGTAATTTTTCTAAAACAAAAGATTTATTTTTTTATATTACTTATATTGTATTTTCTTAGTTTATTCAATTATTACTGCACTTTTTTTATTTGAAAGCAGTGCATTATAAAACGCGTTTTCATCTTCATTTGGCACATATGACACAATTTCTGAAAGATGTTTTCTCTTTAGTTCCGGTATTTTAAACTCCTGATTCGCCACGGGAAGTTCTTCTGAAAAGTGATATGGAACCACTTTTATTTCATTTTTCTTTCTTGATACAAAGCGATACATTTTCGCTTTTGTAAAATCACCTTCAAATTTTTCTCGAAATTCGATATTATTTATATTACCTTTATTATAGATTATATGTTTCAGTCTAGTATAAGGAATAGTTTTATAATTCAAAGCTTTTGAAATCTTTTGAAAATCGAAATAATCATTTGGCTGCATTTGAATGACTTTAAATTTTAATTTCCAAGATGAGGGAATCAATAATAGTTGACGAACTAATGAGATGGGACTCCAAATTTCAATGTTGCGGATATGTTTCTCAATTAAACTATGTGCATTATCGATTTCTTGAATATTTCCATGTCCTGGTTCGCTGAATTTTTGTTCTATCGTCTCGAGATCCTTACTTTTTATAGAGTTTAAAAAATATTGTAAGGCGAAGGACATTATCGAATTTTTGTTTTGTGGAACGCAACTGTCAGACCACAGAATAAGGCTTTTGAGTTGAGGATTATCAATCATAATTTGCGTTAGGATTTTAAAAATTGCAGCAGCAATATGATTCGCCCCACGACCTGCTGAAAATTCGTGCCAAAGTGCATTGTAGACTACTTTTGTGTTACTTAAATGCGCGGTTAAGTTGTAGCACGAAAGTTTTGTCTTATAATAGAAATTGGAAACATTAGCTTTTGGAAGTGAAAATGTGTTTTGTAAATCAAATGTCACAATCCCAACTTGAACATCATTAAGAAATCTTGTTCTATCTCTATCTCGTTCGTTCTTGCACAATTCCTTTTGACGGATGTGGTGATCGTGTTTATTAATGTCGTCTGGGGAAGGTTCTTTAGTGGTTTTGAATAATTCACATTTATCACAAAGATCTTTTTTAGGTTTAAAAAATCCAATGTTAAATTCATTATTGAAGATATGAGAATATATATTAAATTTTACTGGAATTTTAGACGAAGACCTATAAAATTCATACATTCTTCTGAGATTGAGTCCTCTATCCAAATACTTTTTACTAGTTTGTGCTCTACAATAGTGTGATTCTACTGCTGGGAAGCTACCAATATGAGCCCTTACTTTGTCTTTTTGCTCATCACTAATAGTTTTTTTGCAATGTTTGCCATGTTTAGGACTTCTTGGTACATTTTCATTCATATTATTTTTGAAGAAATAGTAGATCCGTTGTTTGCTTATATTCAATGTATTCAGAAAATACTCTTGGCAAACTCGAACTTCCACTCCGGATACATAGAAATAGTATTTATAGCTGTATGTTTTCTTACTAATTTCTTCTTTTGTTCTTTTGCGTAGCGATACAATACGTTTGACATGCTGTGAGTAGAAATGGAGTTTACGTTTGTCATCCAAATTCCAAAATTGATTATGGATATGATCCCTCTCTTCTCCATTAATTGCTTGTGAACATTTGAAACTACATTTTTCCGTATGACATGTCGCAGTTTTTACTTTCTTTTTTGGTTTTAAATTTCCTTTACAATCTATGTATTCTTCTCCTCTTTGCCTTTTGTTCTTTCTTATATTTTGTTTCCACGAAGAAGGATTTCTTTTACGTTTCTTGTTCAACTTCTTTATTCTATCAATTCTATCTTCATCAACTACGTTTTCATCAACACTTCCATTAGAATTATTTTTCTTATCTACATCTAATCTATCATCAGCATCGATTAGATTTGAGTCATTTAATTGGTTACTAAAAAGTGGCAAATAATAGTTAGAAAAGTTAGATTAGAATAGGTATTATTGTTTATTTACCTCAAAAGTTCGGAACAACAACTAGGCGATATATTATTATTAGGAAGAATATAACTCGTCGTACTAGTCATTATTATGTTTTGTTCTTATTAATATAAAAAACACTCAAAAATATAACGAGAATAATAAATGTCACTTTTTCAAATTTAATAACGCAGGAATTGACAGTTGACAGAAATGCACATAAGGGCGCCCCTGGCGGCGGAATCAATTATTAAAACTACGGATTTTTAATGTCAAAATCCCCAAAACAAATTGAATGGATTTAGCACAATTTTGTTATCGTATAGAGTGAGAGGATTTAGAACAAAATATGACGGACTTGGTTCATAGAACATTATAATTCTGAGTTCATATAAGGAACAACATATTTTTCAAAGTATTAACTAAATTTTGGATATAGAACAAATATTTAGTAAAAATTTGGATTTGAGCCTAGATAATTCTAATGTCTGAATAGATTTAGAACAAGCTATTTTTGCTGAAATTTTCAATGTAATTTTCTTCAAAAGTACCAAAATGTGATTTAGAACAAAATAATTCTGGGCTGACGATATATTTCATTTTATTCACCTACATTTAAAATTAGTTAATAAATTACTAATCAACCCAAATCCAAAATAACAAAATAATTTTTTTATTTCTACAATTTGCGAACAAAAAAATGTCTTTTCAATGTACTCAGTCGTTGCTTTGATTGTGATTTATCGCTCAATAATTATAATAATAGAAAAGATTTATGGCGATTAATAATAATCTAATCAAAGACAATTGTGAAAAAATACTCTTGAGGAACTAAATATATGAAATATTCATTATTTAATTAATCCCTCCTCAAAGTGTATTTTCTATTTTTTTCAATGCGCTGACAATTAAAACAAACACACACGAACAAAAATTACTATAAAGTTAATATAATAAAATTTACAATCTTGAAGCAACTTCGCACTCCTTCTGTGCAACTGACCGGCCAAGATAAATTAGTCAAGCTGTATTAATCAATCTCCACATTTTTATCTTTTCTTATCTACCTGTTATTTATAACATTTGTGATTTTTTTTTACTTGTACATCACAGTTGTACGTCGATTTCAAATAATTAAAAGAAAATGTTAAATAAAATCCCCGAAGATATCCTCCAAACGGTAATAGAACAAAAATCGCTAAGTAATCAAGATTTAATTAACTTATCTTCAACTTGTTTGTATTTGCGAAATTTTATTTTACAAAACAACTCCTTGTGGAAGAAACAATACTTAGAAAAGTGGTCGGAAATAGAAAACTCCTTCCAAATAAACGATTATTTTACGGAATTTCGACACGCTTCCAACATACATCGAAAGGTGGATGAAATATTAATAAATATTGCAACGAAATTTATCGATAAAGAACAATTATCAGATACGGTCTTCGAAGAATTTACAGAAATAGTTACTTCAAGGTACCTAAACAGACAGTATACAGAAAATTGTTTAAGAGAAATTTTCACCGATCACTCAAAAATTAATACTCATGATGTTGTTTCATTAAAAACACCCGGAAATTTAACACTTAAATACTACAGTTTATTAACATTACATTATTTAAAACATGAGGACTTGAAAAATGAGTGGATCCAATTTTGCTCATTAAAAGAAGAAGACCAACTGTTGGAAATCGGGATTATACTGCTAATACAATGGATAAAACCGCAATACAACGTTAAAATCGAACACTTTCGAAATCTATTCGATGAAATGACAGAAAAAGTTAAGAAACATTTAAAAATAAGCAATCCAAATCATCCTTTATTTAAAACGAACTTGAATGATTTGAATTTGTGGAGAAATAAAAATATATACGAGAATAAGTTTTCCTGGTTCTATTGTGAAGAAATTTTGGAAACGATGAAACAAGTTATGTGCGAAATGATAGATTTTTGTGGTGACGAACCCGACTATACCGTTAAATATCCATTTATAGCGGACGTTTTGGAATCAAAAGAAGGCGAACAAATAACATTAGCAATCATTTACCAAGCCATAGCAAGAAGACTTGGTGTTCATTTACAACTAATACCAGTTGATTTTGGTTGCATTTTAAAATTTGTTGAACACGATACGAATAATAGAAAAGTGCATTATGTGGATGTTTTCGAATGGGACGAAGCTTGGTTTGACTTCACTTTATATGGAAACTCAAGATGTTCACCTTTAATGGTAAGAATTCTTTATTTGATTCTATCTGAACATATTTAGTATAAAAATCATTTATTTAAGGTTATTAAAAAAATGATAAATAGTATTAAATTTATTTTAACTGAAAGACGACAATCCGTGGAACAAAAAGCTCTGGTGAAGCGTTCAATTCTAGAACTACACCAAATTGTTGACCCATATGATGTAGAAGCCAGTATTCAATTGACCTCTTATTATAGGAAGCATAATATTAACACGAGTCCTCAAAAAAAACCCTTAGAAAGACATTCGGAATCGCAAAAAAGTATCGAGAGATCTCTCGACGTTAAATTCGCGGTTGGAATGATTATGAAACATAAACTACATAATTATAGCTGCGTTATTTACAATTGGGATCCTTTTCCTAAAATAACAATTAACAGCAATTATCCGTGGATCCAGGCCATGCAAAAAAATCAACCGTATTATTACGTTTTATTAGCGAGTGGGGCTAAGAAATATGTGGAACAAGAAAATTTAACGTTTAGTGGAGATAAAGACGGATTGGATAAAAATCCAGAAATTGGAAGATTTTTTACACACTTCTTTAATAACAGTTATGTGCCCAATTGTGTACTAAATGACAAATTTCCGAATGATTCTGAAATCAGAATGAACTTTTGTTAAATTGTGAGATGGAGAAGCATTTAACAATACAGTGAGTTTTAAAAATCATAAAACACAATAATTTTCCTCCAACTATTTCATACTTTTAGTTATAACGCAAAAATTCAAAAAATCCTTTTATTTACGATTTTAGATAAAACATTTTATTATAACACGAACACAATTAATGACAAAACGAATTTCAACCCAAAAATTAGGTGAGAATGATGTTAACAAAAATTGTTTATAATAAATCATAAAAACATAATCTATAAACAAATTCCTTCTAAAATTTTTGCATTTCTCGTTATAAAACAAAATTCCCAAAATTTCTTAATTTTGGATAAAAATTTTTATTACAACTAGAAAACCAAATTTGTTACGAAAAATGTTGTACATGGGATGTTGTGTGAATATTGTCCTCCTAAGGCCCGGTTTTACAATCATAGTTTAAGGGTCGTTCTCAAAAGGGCAAAAAAGTGTCCCTCTAATATCATATCTTATAAACGTAACAAATTACATTCATTCGAGCAAAAAGCAATGTAGTGGGACTCATTAGTATCTCTTCATTAAGTTACATCAAAGTAACAAATATTTTATGTACGCAAAACTTAAAAATTTGTAAAAGTTGGTTTGCACTTCATTGATCAATCATGTGTCCCTCTGGTAAAATTACAACTAAAACTACTTCTAAATCGGAAATACAATAGTATTATATTATTTTATTACAGTTTTTTTATTTGGGATAATTAACAAATAGATTTGAGGATGGTTTGCAATTTCTTATAGATTTCGATTTTAAATTAATATCGGAAATATTGTGTCCCTCGTTTTAATCTCAACTCCGTTACCACATCTTCTAATATAAGTATTCGTGTCGTCATGGTTACCCGGCTCATTGTAAACACTGCAGAGGGAAGTTGATATTAGTATGACACTATAACTGTCAAAAAATATTAAATTGACACGCTGAATATATTCAAGATTTTGATTGATTTCTACAAATATTTTTCTGACCATTCGGATTCTCAACTCCGTTACCTGTCATAAAAAGTAAAGTTTAAGTGATTTCTTACTGTAATTACAGTGCCGCACTTAATTATTGGCACAGCAATAGTTTTTCATTTCACTACTATCTTTTCTATATTGTTTAATTAATTAAATACTCTATGCAGTTATTTTTGTATAAAAATTTATTTTTAATAATCTGTTTTAAATTAAATTAACAAAATAGTGCTTATTTTCAACGCACAAAATTATTGGCACAGTTAAAAAACAACTATTTTAAAACTGCCTTAAACTAAATTAGTATTTTGTAGGTAACCCTTTTTGTTTGATAACGGCCTCCAAACGCCTTGGCATGGAGTGAACCAAATTTTGGGTTGTTTTCTGCTCAATATTGTACCACTCCTCTAACAATGCCTGTTTCAGCTCCAACCTGTTAGTAATTGGAAGCTTTTTGACCCGTCTATCCAATTCCTCCCACAAATGTTCAATCGGATTAAGATCTGGAGACTGCGGTGGGTGTGGTAAGACATGTGGGGTATTATATGCCAGCCACATACGCACGATATGAGCCGAATGCTTTGGGTCATTATCGTGTTGAAATGTGTACGTGGGCGACAAATTTAACTTTTTGATACTTTTATGGAGGTTTTCTTTTAAAATATTTAAATAAACTGACTTATCCATAATACCGTCTATAAATACTAACTCGCCTACCCCTGCAGCTGACATGCAGCCCCACACCATCACCCCTCCTCCACCATGTTTCACTGTTGGTGCAAGGTTTTCTTTATCAAACGCTGTATTGGCTCTTCTCCATACTTTAATACGACCATCAGATCGGAAAATGTTGAACTTACTCTCATCTGAGAATAGTACTTGATCCCAGAATGTATTTGGTTTATTCTTATATTCCTTTGCGTACGCCAGGCGCTTCTTTTGGTTACGTACAGATATTAGTGGCTTTCGCCTCGCAACACGCGCACTATAACCAGCCTCGTGTAGTACTCTTCTGACGGTTATGGGATGAATATCTTTACCAAAATCTTGTTTTACTTCAGTAGCAATCTGTGTTGACGTTATTTTTGGATCTGCTTTGACTTTTCGGATAATCTGCTTGCGTTCCCGATCGTTTAATGTTCGGGGACGGCCAGTACGCTTAATACTTTTGAAATTTGATGCTTTTTTAAATCGGTCAATAACACTGCGAATAGTATATCGGCTTCTGTTCGTTATTTCCCCAATTTCAGTATACGATCTGCCTTGGTTGTGCAAATGAAGAATTATTTTGCGCTCTGATTCTGTTGTTTCTTTCTGTTTTCGACCCATTTTCATATTTAACTAATACTTTAGTTGATAAAGACAAGATGGAATTCGATTTAAAAATTAAATTAACTGTCAATAGGGGGAAATACGAACACACAGTTAGGATATTTGACATTTCGGCTAAGCATATAATGTACGTTTGTACCAATTGTTAAGTGTGCCAATAATTTTGTGCGTTGTAAATAAATACTATTTTGTTAATTTAATTTAAAACAGATTATTAAAAATAAATTTTTATACAAAAATAACTGCATAAGGTATTTAATCAATTAAACAATATAGGATAAATACTTTCACCTAATACCATTTGTTAATTTGATTTAAAAACAGCCATAAAACGAAAAACGATTGCTGTGCCAATAATTAAGTGTGGCACTGTACATTAAGTATATTAGTAAAAAATATACGAACACGGTATGCAACTATCAACATAAAATCAAATTCAATTTAATTTTAAATATTTTTGAAAGCGCGTTTTCTCAACTCCGTGAATTTCAACTTCATTACTAATGTTAGGCAGGAACATTTACAGTCACATTTAACAGTTATAATGCACTATGTAACTGTAAATATTTTATTTTCAATGTATCCAATATTTAGTTAAGCTAAAAAAAAAATAGAACAGCGCTCAAATGCTATAATTTCCAAATTTATATGCATCATGTTTCTTTTGCTTTAGACGAGATCTAATTTTGAGTGTAATTTCGATTTTACCTTTTATTATTCTTTTGTGCTAGATGGTCAAAACTAGAGGTAAGGCCTTAAGTGAAACAGCGGTTACAACATCAAAGAAAAAGAAATTATGCAATCAAAAGAAGAGAGATGCTATGAGAAAACTAAGGGCGCAACGAAAAGAAGATCCTGAGGCTTATGAAATTGCTAAATTGAAGGAAAGAGAGCGGTATCACCACAGAGTTAGCTGCGGTAAAATAAAAAAGACATCACAGTTAACAGATCGAGATAAAAGACATAAAAGGAAAAAATGGAGGGAACATAGTAAAAAACATTACCAAGCAAAAAAGGCAGCTGCTTTAAAGAGCCACAACTCTACACCATCAAGTTCTGTGCTTTTAAGGGCCAAAAATGTAAATAATAAACTCAAAAACAAGGTAAATGTACTCCAGAAAGAAATTGTACAAGCGAAAAAACTTATACAAAAGTATAAAAAACGTGAAACTTGGAAGCCTCGTAAATCGGACATAGAAAGTATTATAAGTAAACAGCTCCCATTGAATAATATTGCAACAGTTCGTACATATTTAGAAAAAGACGAAAACAGCAGATTCTGTCCTGGGAAAAAGGACACGATAACATACAAGAAAAACAAAAAACAAAAACGCTACTTGAACGATTCCCTACAGAATTTGCATAGAAAATTTAATAAAATATACTCAAAATTGCGCATCGGTTACTCCACATTTTGTCGAATGAGACCATTTTGGATTTTGCAGCCTACAGCACGCCAAAGAGATACTTGTTTATGTGTTACCCACACTAACATGAATCTTTTGGTGCATAAGCTAGGGATCTTAGACATTATCAAAGAAAACACCCCATCTCAAGTGGTCCAAAAAATGTGCTGTTCAACTGCTAATATATGCAAAAATGAAAAATACCTCGAACGCAAATGCTTCAAGTGCAACAAAAATACAGTGACCGTTCTGCACTACAATAAAAAGGAGTTAATGACATACATGAAATGGGTTAACAAATCGGTATAGGTAGTGGTCAATTGGAAAATAATGTTTTGTAAAAGAACAGTGAAAGAAAAGCAAACAGTAGAGAAACACCAAGCAGTTACAGAATTGATACAATCTATTCCGAGATATATGTTGCACCTCAGGAATATATCTCATCAATATCGGTGTATAAATGCAGTGAAAAAGAATCTGTCTGTTGATGAAATCTTGATCCATATGGATTTTTCTGAAAATTACTGCTGTAAATATACTGAAGAAGTACAATCTGCACACTTTGGCTCTTTAAAGCTTCAGATATCTCTTCATACCTTAGTTGTATATTACAAGCATCCACACAATAACTCAACAGACCATATCTCATACTGTACAGTATCAAGTAGTCTTCGCCATGACCCCTCAGCCATATACGTGCACTTAGGATATGTTTTTGAAGATATTAAAATGATTGTTCCCAGGGTAAGACATATCAATTTCTTATCGGATGGACCATCCACCCAATATAAGAACAGAAAGATGTTTTATTTTATTGCCACACACCTGCACAAAAAATTACAAGCAGAGACAATTCGATGGCATTATAGTGAAAGTGGCCATGGAAAAGGAGCGCCTGATGGTATTGGAGGCTGTATCAAACGTACAGCAGACTCAAAAGTCGCACAAGGAATCGACATACCAGATTGTGATACATTAGTAAAAGTGTTACAAAAGTCAATAAAAGGGATCAAGATCTTTCGTATCGATGAAAAACTAATCCCTATTATTGACGAACTGACCCCAGAAAATATTCCTACGTTTAAAGGTACGATGAAAGTTCATGAAGTCACCTGGATCAATAAACGAAGGAATAGACTTACTTTCAGAGAACTGACATGTCTGTATTGTGAACCCGGCGAGCTTTGCTTACACTATAACTTGGGATCTATGGAGTATAGAACACCTCTGCGTTATAGCGCTATATATACAGATTCATCATCATCAGATGATGATGTGCCATTGAGTTTACTTCGGAATAAGTTTGATAGTTAAGATGTTAGGAACAACATTTGGAATTAAATTATTATTTGTCAACTCCGTTACCACTTCTCAACTCCGTTACCTCTAAATATAACATTATTTTCATTATTTAATTATATTCTCAAAGTACAAAAGTTTTGTTATACTCATATG